TTTTCACAAATACAACAGAAAGCTCTGTGTTAGGAACAGAATTCACAAAGCAATCTGCTACTCATTGCTTGCTTTCTTTTCAGTGTGTGAATCATACACTGTACAAGCAGGTTAAAATCTTTCAAATGAACCTAATACAGCACTCGGAGTCCTTATCAGAGTAGTACTGCGTAGTCACTTTCCTACTGGGTTATAGCAGCATCTTAGGCTAGCAGCTGAACTAATTGGTTATTTAATGTGATAAATGCTCCTCTTTCAGGAAAAAAAGACCAAGGAGTTCCTAAATGCCAGCTTCAGGTTATGGTGTTTGGGGCCAAGAACTTGCCCATGCTGAGATCTGCTGGAGTGCCGAACTCATTCGTTAAAGGGTATGTATGAGACCTAACACTTCAAATAGAAAATGTCACGCACATTCTGTGCAAAGGTATGTATTAACATGGTCTCACCAGGAGACTGGCATGTGAAAGTGGCATTTTCCACGCTCTTAGTCAGACTTCCTTGTAGTGGTGACATTTGGGTGTCTGCACAACAGCAGCACTCAGAAGAGTGGTGATGTGTCCCACTTGCTCTTTGCATCCTGAATGAACTTCGGAATTTACTTCTGTCATTAAAATGTAGAGTTTGCTAGTTTAAATATCTGCTTTTAGATATTAGGAGAGAGGGGGGGGGGAAAAGTACAAAACAAGAGGGTATTTTCATTCCTATTTTCGGCTATGCCTTTACAAAATTAAATATAGCTTTGTATACATTGAAAAGGAAACTTTTATCCTCTTCATTCTAGACATTTTAAAAGAGGAGGGGCTGAGTTTTTCTTCAGTGCACTGAGTAGTTTATATGTGGGCTCATTTTACTTTCTTACTGTCAGGCATCAGGTGCCACTGGAAGTATGATACTGGGGTACGCTTACAATATCTCATAAAGCCATTTCACCTGCTGTGGCACCTGTCTTGAGTGAAATGGGCGAGCATTTTAGCTACTGAAAGGCAATTTTGGATAACAGAACAGGGAGTAAAGACTCCCCCAGCAGTCAGTGACAGCAAAGGAAAAGCAGATCAGAAGAGCCTACTTGCACTGCACCCACACTGAAGGCAGACAGGAAAAGGAGCAAGTCCCAAGACAAACACACTGGCACCATGTTCTCCCTTGCACTTAAGCTGAACTTTTTTGCTATTTAAGGCAAACCAAATGGCCCTGGTTGATTATTGCAAATGTTCCGTTTTCTGGTTGAGAAATCATAACCTTGCTGAACTCTCATTGTTTTTGGGAAGTTGTCTTATCCTTCCAGACGAAGCAGAGGTAAAGCGAAAGTCTCCTGTCCTGAAGAAAGAAGCCTGTCCCCAGTGGAAACACTTGTTTGTCTTTGATGGTCTTACCCCAGCCCAGCTACAGCAATCATGTCTACACTTGACTGTCTGGGACCAGTCAGCTTTCAGCTCAAGCGATCAATTCCTTGGAGGAGCCAAGCTTGGTGCAAGTAAGTTCTTTATCCCTAAAAATTGAAGGTAATTTGGGAAAAAGTTCATTTAGTTTACATTCTAAATAATAATATTTACACTGTGCTATTTATTACCTGCTGTCAAGTGCCTGCACATACAGCCCTCAGTCCCTATCCAAAGCAACTTGCAATCCTGGGCTTTGATCCTGCAAGAACCGATGCATGTGTTTTAGTTCAGGTTTGTGCAGAAGCTCAGGGGTGGCAGGGGGAATTTTCAGGAAGACCGTTTGTCAGTGTAGCAACTTCTAGGGCCAGAGCCTGAAGACAGACATGGAAAAGTTGAGTGGATTCAAGTCATCTAGAGCTTCTTTTGAGATTTGTTCCTTGAGCTCTTTTTTTAAGAATTGGCTACTTTGAACTACTGTCTCATCAAAAGGAAGTGCAAGAACTGATGATCTAGTAGACTCCAACCTCCCTTATATTTGTGCTTTTTATTTTGCATCCACAAATCAATCCAATCAATGGGAGGTACAGAAAGTGAAACTTATGCAGAAGGGCCTATTGCATGTCTGAGTTTTGGGCTCTCTTCTAACATAAGAGTGAGCCCTCTTTCCAGAGGCTGAGCAACCCGCTGCTCACTGAATAGGCCCTCTTAACCAGTTGTTGAGCTGTCACTTGCAGGCTGCCCAGTGGGGCCTCTCACCCCTGTCTTCCCAGAGAATAAGTGCTTTGGTTTCAGTATTTGAGATGAAAGGCTTGAAGATTGAGGTGCTGTCACTTCATTATGGTATCAACATGCACTTTAGAGGAGTATTATCACTAGTAATAACAAGTCAGTGCTGTGCAGGCTTCTTCCCGAGCTGCTTTTGCTTGTCCTACCCAGCGTTTTCCTTTCTGCTAGAGCAGGGACAACGTGATACTGAGTGAAGATGACTATCCAAGCCCTAAGCCTAGTAATGCATTAGAGTCACTGGAGATGAAGTGAAGCAGGAGGCTTTGTGCCATTCTCCTCTTTGTAGTATGCACACTTGCTTCTCTGCTTTTAAGTCATACAACCCAAACATTGTTCTTTACTGCAGGCTGAGAGAGTGCGATCCTTGTTTAACAGGATGTAAATAATGTTTCAAAGGTGTAACTACAGTTTATTGCAACTAATGTCTTGGGAGGTACAGAACAGCTGAAATTGCTGTAGAACTGGGAAAAGCAGGTTGGTTGTTATGTAGTCAACTGGGCCAGAAGTTGGGTAAGTGAAAAGTAACCCTGTGATCTTTCCTTTCGCTTTCTCACAGAGGAATCGTTTGGCTGTAAAGACCTTGTTTCTCAGTCAGTGCTCCAATGGCAGGAAATGCTCCACAGCCCAAATACGTGGATGGACTTCACACTTGTACTGCATTCAAATAAGGAGAACTTTAAATCATGAGATTACTGTGCAGCAACTTTTCCTTCTCTGTGTGTGACAAATTCAAGTGGCACATACATTTCAGGTCTGGGGAAAGGTACACTGCAACAGCACCTACTCCAGCTTTTGGGGAATAGTTATGCATTGAAAAGCCTGTGACATTCTGAAGATCTTATTTCTCCAAAAGTTAAGGCGTTATTTGTCTCTGTAGCTGCAGTTTAAGGTTAGTATTATTTCTTCAGGAGTGACAAATGCAGTTTGAAATGCATTATGCTGACAAGACAACAGTAGCCAGATGATGTGCAGTTTTCCATTTCTGGGCACAGCAGAACTGTAATAATTTAATTATAGATAGGAATACTTCTTAGAGAAAATAACTGTTACCTTAAAGTTATATGCTTTCACTCTGATCTGGATGTTTTATACATGTTCAGAGAGAATTGAAAACTAGCTTACCTTTAGCTGCTTGCTGCAGATGGGTGATGCCAACACCTCTGTGCTTCAGGATTATCTACAGTGCCAGTATTACTTCACATAACCCTAAAAAGCTCTGGCCTGTGGCCACATGTCTTCTAAATATGTGCTGTATCATTGTGCTTAAAATGAGGTAAATGTATAAATTCTCCCTTGGTAGCAGTGTGGGACAACAGCTAATAAAATAAGTGTGGTTGGAGGAAGTTCCAGCTGCTGATGTAAGACAGCGTTAACATGTCTGATCCATACAGTATACGGCACAGGACAAGACTTTAGCTAGGGTTATTTATTCATCTGAACTGGTGGCAATGCAAGCTTAAGGCTCAACTACTGTGTCAGTTCACTTTGCCTCAGCTCTGTAGTGTTACAGTTGGCAGAAACTTCACATACACAACTGTAATGAGTGCTGTTGCCTTTCTTCCTTTCCAGGTCAACATGGCCTTTAAGGACTTTAAAGACAGGGATTCATACGCTGAGCTCAGTAACTAAAAGAAAGAGCAGTAGCCCACCTTACACAAAATACACCCCACGCAAGAAACACTTCACTCCAAGTCCTTTGTTACTTTGCAGATCTTTTATTTAGATGTTTGCTGCTGCAAATAAAAAAAACAACCCCACAAGATTCAACTCAAGTATAAAGCAGCATAGGTGTTGTAAGTGAAAGAAGAGCTGACAACATACTGTATCTCACTTTCTAACAGATTTTCAAGGAAAGGGGGAGATTAGTGGGGAAGGAATATGGTCACAGAAATGCTCTCCACTAGAGAGAATACAACTGTGATATAAACAAGCAGTCCCTTCATCTTTGGAGTCTGAAACTTTAAATCAAACATTTAAAAAAATTAGAAAATTTGTTAGAAAAATAGGTGCAGTAAAATTGTATATATTGGATCGTGTGTACATATAACAGTTAATTAAGTAAAAAAATGATCTTTACAAATAATGCTTTATAGCAAATAATCAGCTGCACTGTATCAGACTACAGTCTTGTTCAGGCATTTTTACAGATGCAAGTCTTATTAAATCTGAAAAGTAACAAAATATACAGAGCAAAACTATTTCCCTTTAAACTAGTATTGCAATCCACACATTGCATGTTTTTATGTATGTATATATATATAAATACTACACTATAACTGATCAGTAATGAAGCTGGAATTCAAATACAGCACTGTATTAGATTCCAACAGAGTATTTGCTTAGCTGTTATGTGAGGAGGGTATCAGTGTCCCTATGCCACACTCCTGAGCCATCACTGCAGAATTTCTCTAGTTGAGAACAACAACCAGAAAAAGCCTAATTTCTACACAAAGTAGTTCTGAGGTGTTGTCAGTTCTTTTGGGTGCTGAGGGTGGGGGTGGTGGACATTAAGACCAAGAGAAAAAAAACAGGGTGTAAACCCACATGTGCACACATGTACACACATCCATACACATACTTACAGATCTCCAGCCCTACAACCCATCATCTTTTCAACTGTTGGACTTGTAACTAATAATACAAAGACATATGGCACAATATTCACACACAGTTGCTTATTTTTAGACTAAACTGAATCCAGCACAGGACGCGCATCTTCAGCTAGAAGCACAGCCTAGTAAAATTTTTCTTGCTTAAAGAGAGATGTGACATAAGGCCTTTTGGCACTAAGCAAAGGCATGAGCAAGTTACCAAGATCAGTGGTATGATGAGTTTTTAACTATACCAAATTTAATACAAGATATGGAATAAAAGGGAGATTCAAACACCTCTGGGTTTAGAGAACGGTTGTTAAGTGTCATACAGTGACCCCTCCTCAGGGAAAAAACAAACGCAAAACAAAAAAACCCCAAAACGAGAACACAGCATCAAGATCTGCCTTTCCCACAGTCCTGCCTTCTTGTTACAGCATCATTACATCGCCTCAAACTCATCAATTCTCTGCTTGGTGTTGCCTTGCCGGATCTGCCGCAGTGTCTTGTACTTGTCACGTCCCTGTCGCATGTTGTTTGAGTGGATAATATCATTGTGGGTCGTCTTATTTTCATCTCTAGCCTGGGCCAGCTCATCTGTCAGCGCCTGCAATATGAAGAACATTAAATACAGATTAGACACGAGAAGCTTTCAGCTCATGACAGTAGTGTTCTTTGGTGAGAACTGACAGTTGTTAGGTGACTGGACAGATCAGTGATATGGGTACAACATATGCTTTCCATAAATGCTATGGATCACGTAAGTAATCTCAAAGCCTGAGCAATGAGAATAATCTTTGCATACCTTGTCTTTAATTCAAACTCCCTACAGGAACTGTAAACAAAGAGAAACTATCATGCTTTATGTGCTTAACCAAGTGGTTAAATGATCTATTTTCCAGGAACTGATTGTTTCCATTACTCCCCCTCCTCCAAATATTTTCTTACCTTCAGTTGCCTCTGTACACGTTCGTTCTTCTCTGCTTCAGTAATGCGTATCTCCTCATTGCGGTCATTCCTGATCCCCTCGCTGGAGAACTCTGCGCTGTAGGCAGAGTACTCGGATCCTTCATCTTGCAAGTTATCTTGGACATGGTAGTTCACTGGCTCATAGACAGGTGGTGGGGGTGGCGGCGGAGCAGTCATTACCAGGTGTAGCTCCTCCTTTGTCTTTACCAGATCCTCCTGGGCTTCCTTGGCCTTTGGGAAAAGAGTGAAAAATATTTTCATGCATTTCTTGCTTTAAACCAGCTTAATGAACACTTCAATGCTTATCTTCCCAGTTTTGTCAATCTACTATGAAAAGCAAGAAAGAAGGAATTAAATCTGCAGCTGACAGAAATCTGTTAGCCTTATGCAGAACATCTTTTTTTTTTTTGCTAGTGATGCTGTCATCATCCACTGTGTAACGTGCAGGGGATCTAAACAGAATCTTCCAATAAAACACAGTCTAGGAAAAATAGTTCTGTGGGAAGCTACAGCCATCTTCATCTCGTTCTCCATTTGAAGAGCTGTAGGTTGTGAATATGGGTTCCACAGAGCAAGAACTTAGATTCCCGAGTTGGCATTTTTAATACAATTACGCAGTAGGCAGTCAGTGTCTGTGCTGACTTGTGATTCTGCCCTCCCACATGGTCTGCAGCATCAGTTACAGGGCACTGGGAGCACTGCGCACTGAGCCTTGCATAGTTTATTTCTGGGTTTATTGCATTAAATTATTCAACTTGCCTGATCCAGGTACCAGGAAGCCACTGACAAGAGCACACACTCCTGCTACCTGCAGCGTGACTGCATTTGCAACATCTTCTCTTGATTGATGTAGTGTTTTTAGGCATTACATCATGGATTAAACGCATCATTTACACATTCGTCCCTTCCCCTCCATGGCTCCAAGACAATGAGCACATTTTTAGGTTTTATACAGGCTTCCACCTTGAATTTTGACTGAAGGCTTGTTGGAAGAAAGGCGTTTTGTAGGCATAGTGCACATTCATCACAAGTCTGCCCTGGTCTGCTGGTGTACAGATGTTTGTCTCTGCATGCTTAGAGAAGTCATACCAGGCTAAGCACTGTGGTGTGCTCTGCTCAACTGCAGAACTTCAGAGCAAATTTGTAAAGATACTCACTCTGATTTGCCACTCTTCAACCTCACTCTCTTTACGCCTCCTTGCCTCCTCAAGAAGTGCAATCTTGGCTGTATACTCGGCAAGCTCAGTAGCCTGTTGAATAATAAAATCGGAATTAGAAGGACTCTTAAAAAAAAAAACAACAGAAAAACAAACACAAAACTAAAATGCTGTTGACTGAGACCCAAGCGTTACAGTCCACTGTAGTAAAGAACGAATAGGAAATTATGAGCAAAAAGTAGATTGCTCATGACAGAAACTAGTGCCATAACAATACTATCACATGGTCTAGTACTTCACTGCACTATGTTTTTTCCTGGAGAACAAGGCTTTGCCTTACTCAAAAGGCACAGTAAAATGCCTGTATATCTTATCCTCAAAATGACTGGGTCTTACCAGCTGTTCCTGGCTCTTCATCTGGTCCATAGTTTGCCTCTCCAGCTCCTCCTTGGCCTGCAGAGCAGCCAAACGATCTGCTTCCAAGCGTTCCGCTTCCTCCTGGGCTCGTCTCCGTTCCTCCTCCAGCTGAATGGCTCTTTGGATCTGATCCGAGAGCTCTGGAAAAAGACAGATCAATGCAGTTAATCCACAAGCCGGGTCAAAGCGAAGGCACTACAGACAGTCTCTTAGGTAACTGCAGAAGTCATGACAAGCACTTGAGTCCAGCCTGCAGTACCCCTTCACTGTGCACCTCAAAGTAGTTATTTGCATAATACATCAAGTAACTGAATTCAGAAGTAGTCAGCTGCACATTATAATTACATCTTCTGCAAGATATTTGCACCGAAGTCTGTAACACTGACATGACTCTGCTGCCCTTAATTGACAGTTTACTGCGAGGACCAGATGCTGCTGTCTCCAATTTGCTCATCTGTGCATTGAAACAGCAGCTTCCATTTCCCTGGAAAGGCTTGTTCCCAAAGTACTTTTTCTGCTAGGAGTTAAGTAAAAAGTACTCGAGAGCTGAACTGCGTTACTGCTGGAAGAGGCCATACTACTCAAACCCTCTTGGCAACAGGGGAAAATGGTGTTCATGTAACCTTCAGTTCCCAAATACAATCAGCAGATTTTATGCTACTTTCATGCTTTGGATGATCTCAGCAGTGCGTGCACATGTGTGTATTTATCCGTATAGGCAGATATTAACAAACCTCGCCAACAGATCGCGGTGCCATCAGATCTAGGCTAGCTGTAGGCAGCAACCCGTATAACCCCTCTACGGAGCACAATACACATGGTCTGGTCAGCCCGCACAAGTACTTTACCTTTCTCTGCTTTCTGAGTCTTCACCTCATACTCTTGTAGCCTCACCAGCAGCTCCTCCTTCTCCCTCAACATTTGTTCTTTCTCTCTCTCAATTATCTCCCTCTTCTTCTTTTCATTTTCTAGTTGTTGCCTGTTAGAAACAGATTTCATGCTTGAAGCTCGCTTTCAGACCTAAGCTACAGCCAGGCAAGAAATTTGGCAGGGCATCTCTCCAGGCAGCTCAAGGGGAAACAACCATGTGACTGCCACAAAACAAGAGCCAGAAGACAGAAATACATATAGCCTGTTCCTTCATCACTTTGGAATTTTTGCTCAGTTTTGGATAACCTTTTTCATAAAAAAATTGTATTTTTTTTATTGCCTGCTCCAGAAATTTAGCACACCAAATAGCTACCAGAAGCACAGAGAGAAAACCAGGACTCTGTTCTGCGCAGCAGGAGATTTAACGTTGTGACTTCTGGCATAAGGAAAGTCGAGGCGTAAAAACAAGAGCACTGAGGAAACGAAGACAAACAAGCCACGAAGACAGGAGAAAAGCAGCAACATGATTTCTCAAATCACAAGCAACCTGCAGCCAGTGGTAGAAACCCCATGGAATTGCTAATCCTTTTTCCTTGCCTGTAAGAGGTCTCCCAGTCCCCTCTCCTCTCTTCACAGTGTAAGCGCATGCTCCCTGTGAAGGTTTCTCCCTTACTCCCAACCATCCCATGGTCCAACGCATAAATCAGGTCCTAACGCTCAAAAGTCAGGAGAACCCTCTCCAGGTGAGTGCCACCACACAAGAGCCCACTGCGCCTTTACTTGCGCATTTCCTTGCAACTCCCAAGACTTCAAACAGGACAGGAGACTACATGGCCACAGCTCCAAGCCAGAAGAGTAACACTTACAGTCCCGCTGCAGGATACCCCGAGTCCACCCCGTAAGCCGGAGCTCTAGAGCCACACAGGGTGGCTCATGGCCTTTCCAAAGCGAAAGCCACATTTCCCACTGCTGCCCTGCTGGTACAGCCGCCTGCTG